AACCGCTTTCCTTAATGGGAAGTTGGCTGAGGATGTTTACATGAGTCAGCCAGAGGGGTTTGTTGATGCAAATTTTCCCAATGAAGTGTGTAAGCTTTAGAAATCAATATATGGATTGAAACAAGCTTCTCGCAAATGGAATCTTTGCTTTGACGAGAAGGTCAAGGCATTTGGCTTCTTAAGCAGTGAAGATGAGTCTTGTGTATATGTCAAAGCTAGTGGGAGTATAGTAACCTTCCTGGTATTGTATGTTGATGACATACTTCTTATACAAACGACATTCCAACTTTGCAAGAGGTTAAGTCTTGGCTTGGAAAGTGTTTTGCGATGAAAGATTTGGGAGAGACTGACTATATTCTGGGGATAAGAATTCTTAGAGACGGGAGTAAAAGACTAACTGGACTTAGTCAAAGTACATACTTAAAAAAGGTACTAAAACGTTGTAGTATGGAAAATTCCAAAAAAGGAGAACTGCCTATACAAAGTAATAACAAACTGAGTAAGACTCAGAGCCCGAGTATTGATGTAAAGATAGCAGAAATGAGTAGAGTTCCATATGCTTCCGCCGTTGGATCTATCATGTATGTTATGACATGTACTCGCCCTGATGTGGCCTTTGCTTTGAGCATGGTCATGTTATCAGGGAAATTCAGGTAGAGCTCATTGGATAGCAGTTAAGAATATTCTCAAGTATCTGCGAAGGACTAAAGACTGGGTCCTAGTACTTAGTGGCAGTAATACATTGAGAGTAACTGGGTATAGTGACGCCAGCTTTCAAACAGACAGAGACAACTTCTGTTCTCAATCTGGATGGGTGTTTACCCTAAATGGAGGATCGGTAACCTGGAAAAGGTCCAGACAAGAGACAGTTGTTGATTCTACCTGTGAATTAGAGTACATAGCAGCAAGCGAAGCATCAAAGGAGGCAATTTGGTTAAAGAACTTCATCGGAGACCTTGGAGTTGTTCCAGCCATTAAGGAGCCAATGGAAATTTTCTGTGATAACGAAGGAGCGCTTGCCTTGAAAAATGAACCAAGAGATCATGGCAAATACATATCGACAGAAAATACCATTTCATCAAACATAGAGTAGAAGAATGTCACCTCGTGGTGAAGAGGGTATCATCAGAGGAGAATCCTGCAGATCCCCTCACAAAGGTTTTGAGTAGGGTCAAACACTTTCAACACGCTAGGGGCATTAGTGTGAAAGATGATATTAGTTTTAGTAGTTAGATAATTAGTTGAAACTTGTAACAAAGTAAATATAATTGACTTTTGGTGATTAAATAATAGAGAATTATTTATGAGTTTGTTTACTAACTTTTGTCAATTGTTTATTATTGTGTTTCATTTTGCATGTTTTACTTCCCCAATAATTCGATTATTCAAAAATCCACAGTGATTCGTACTTTTGGAAGTAAGTAGTGAATTAAGAATGTCATTAACTAGATTGTAGATTGTCTAAAGAGTTTTAGACATAGCAATGGTATTGCTGCAATGTTCATGAGTACTTTGAAATAGAGATTTAAGTAGTGGATTAACCCACGCTCAGAAAATTACTTCATGAAATTTATCACGAGTAATTCGGAGACGATAATATCTTATAATCTTGAAACGGAGGTATATGAGTTGTGGTTTACAAGTCAGTTGTGCATTGATGATACGTAAACGCATCAGTAACTTGATGTTATAAAACGTATTGTTGTGCATGATCTGATGAGTAAATGGTACAAGAATATAAGTCAAATTTTATTTGTTCCTTTTACCTTAACGGGAAAAGCGATATATTTTGGTCCCTCGGTGATTTGGTGTTGACTTATAATGTCGGGCATGGCCAGGACTAAATTGATGTGTTCGATTAGAAGTTCTATGTCATTACAAATCAGAAATTTGGAAACAAAGTCTTGGACAATGAGATTGATTTTGTTCCATGTCTCATATTTGAATGATATATTGCATAAGGGAGGATTATATGATCACTTATCTTAGGACACGTAACTGACTGGGTCAGAGTTCGATAGCGGCTTTTGGAAGCTACAATTTGCTGATCAGTTTAGAAGTTATACTGGCAATTTTAGTTATTAGACTTATCCAAGTAGGAGACTGTTGAATTAGGTGTCTCAGCCCATAACTATAATCGGTATATACTTGAATTGCTAGTAGCATAGTCTTTTTGGGTTGCCCTCAAGCCTAGCAACTGGATAGGATGATTTTGGAGAAAGAGAGGTTGATTTATTATTTGAGTAATAAATTGAAATAATTGATTTATTAATATATTATGAAAATAATATATTAATTAGAAATCATATTGTTTAATTAATAAATAATCATTAATTAATTGGAATTAATTTTGGGATTAATTGGATTAATTAAAAGTGTAGGGATTGTTTGGTTATTTATTGGAAGTTGAAGAAAGAAGGCCCAAGAACCTCATTGGATGAGGTGGACGAAAATAACTTGGGCAAGCCCAAGAGTTTTCGTCCAAGCCCCTTGAATGAGGGGAATGGGCTGCTTGGTCACCAAACTACCTCAGCTATATAAAGGACCTAGCCCTTCACATTTTCGTGCACTCCTTCCCTCAAGAAGCCTTGGAGGAATTTGGTTATCCCTTCTCCTCTCTCTATATTCATCATCTTGCTAGTGTGGGTGTGATCCCATTAGAGGCACGACAATTGTGGTGCTTGCTTCCAAAAGATCAATAAGAAGGTGTTCATTGTTATTTGCTACAATAACAATCAAGGTATGTAATCCTTAACCCTAATCTGGTATTTTCGAAAATAGCCTAGTGTTCTTAGGGTTTCCTTTTGATGTTCATAGTTATAGATTCAATTGTGAAAACATAGAATTTTATTAGGGTTGCATGCACACTTAAAAGTTTAAGTTTGTTTGTTTTGCATAAAACCCATCAACTTATGATTACACATTCCATGGAGGTTAGCTGGTAGTGGAGCAGTGTGTTGTGACAGATCCAGTAGGCGGTAGCGAACTGTATGATTGATATTGCTTGTATTATGCGCCTACTTGATCCTTTTTTGTTTATATGTCGACATATGGTGGTGGTTGAGGTTGAGATGGTCCTGATATGTGTTGTAGGCCAAGATACCTAGTGCAGGTCGGCTGCAAGTCGTAGGCATGGAGGCTCGGGACAAACGGTTGGGTTGAGGCGGCAAGCCAACAAACCCAGGGTATTCCAGTTCGATGACTGATTGAACCCGTTACATGGTGGCATTCCAGTCTGGTGACTGATTGGGCCAGGGTAATCCAATCCGATGATTATAGACCCGGTATGCATGCTAGTATGTTTGTTGTATGGGGTATTTTGGGGGAAACTCACTAAGCTTTGTTCTTACCAAGTTGTTTATGTTTCAGGTTCTATCGGTGATCGTGGGAAGGCCAAGGCAGGACTGTACACACTCATCAGCATCATTGAGGATTTCACGTTTATTATAATACTCTAATTTTTAATAAATGTAATTGGGAATAAACGGTTTTTCTTAGAATGGATTTCTAATTGGGAAGTTTTACCTTAATAAAAATGAAAATTTTTTGTTGTGAAAATGGGACGTTACAGCAACAATCTTTCTCCTCAAGGCTTGATAGGCTCTTTTGTTATAAATAGAGTTAGATTGCTTAGTGTTTGATCGTTGGGGGTTGACAGTATATGGAGTTGGAATTGGTGTAGAGGAGTGAGAGTGGCATGGAAGAGCGACAATTGCAAAATTTTGAGTTGTTTCTTTAGGAAGTGCTCATCCTAGAAAATCCTGATCATTTCTGGTGGAATCTCGATATTATTGGCAACTTCTCAGTTAACTCTACCATGAGACATATCGATGATGCCTAGTTGGTAAGTGGGAAGAGTGCTACTAGATGGTGTAAGGTGGTCCCTTGTAAAATGAATATCTTCATTTGGCATTTATCTTTGGACTCAATCTCTACACGGTTAAACTTGTCACGTAAACGTGTAGATTTAAACTCCATTTCATGTCTCATACGTCAGGTTGGAGTTAAATATGTAGTCGTCTTATGTTTCAATCTGACATAGGCGGCTCAACCATTTTGGGGGCTCAAAGCGAGCCAAAAATTTGGGGCCCTTTGGCCTTTGCTATACTCGGAAGATGAATATATCGCAAAAATCAAAATCGGTAGAAGAATGCAATGTCATTTTATGTTCATGAGTGCAGCGATCGTTGATTTATTCTTCGGCTTCATTTATTTTGTGGTTACCGGATTGGATTTTTTAATGGACTAAACTTTTGGACTTTGGAGATTATAGGGCCCCTTAAAATTGGGGGCCCTAAGCCCTTGCTTAAAAAATCTCTACATAGAGTCGGTCCTGCAATCTGAAGTGGCTTTAGCAGTTGGCACCTTGATTGGTAAGTAGTGTGAGATAGTTCTTTCGTCGTTTAAGTGCATGTGTCTAATTATAAACTCTTATAATTTTTTTCACTGATTTTCCAAATATATATTTATGTTAGTTTTTAATGATATATCAAAATAATTTTTTATGTCATTTTAAATTTTACATTCTCTATCTAATTTATTAAATTAGCTACGTTTTACAAACGTTATTATTCAGAGTTTAATCGTCAAAACGCATTCTAATTGTGAAGTCCATAGTTCATTTTCTTTTTTATCATAAGTTTGGAAAAGGCTTATTTTCTTCAAGACAACTATTATAAATATTTCAAAAATGTTAACCGCTTCATTGTCGGTAATTCTTCGAAGATCAACACAACTCAAGACCGCCATTATCGCCGCCCCCGGCCTAGTGGCGGCGATGACAGTGTAATGGAGCACGGGTGTGAATAGTAGAGGACGTATTTCATGGTAATATTGTAAGGATATGGTGATAAGCAAAATAGGTGGAGCCTATATTTTTTGATCGGTAATTACAAATTTCTTAACGAATCTCTGATTGTCTCCCTCACAATGTCCGCAAATCACTCACTCGCCCCTGCATACCCCTTTTCTGCAAATATTCTATTACCCTGCAGGTGTCGCAAATTATTACCTCTAGCAATGGGTATGCCGCCCAATCACCACCACGTTAATGGCACCCTCCACCACCCCACACCGCCACCCTTCTAACCTCCCTACCATCCGCACCTCCGTCTCCTGGCTCCTCCTTTCCTTGTTCTTCGTCTACATCCTCTACTATTCCACCGTCCTCTTCGAACCCGCCCCCACCGCCACCAACTCCGGCAACCACTTCTCAACCACCGAAAACCTCAAAAGCAACACCACCACATCTGAATCTGTACTCCGGTTTGACACCGAACTCAAACACATCGCGTTCGGCATCGCCGCATCTTCCCGGTTATGGCGGTCCCGGAAAGAGTACCTCAAGCTATGGTGGCGGCGGGGGGAGACCAGAGGGGTTGTTTGGCTAGACAAACGTGTAAAAACCACAGAAAACGAAAACCTACCGGACATCCACATCTCCGGCGACACCTCAAAGTTTCCGTACACAAACCCAGATGGTTTCAGATCCGCGATACGTATTTCCAGAGTGGTGTCGGAGACGCTCCGGTTGGGTATGGAGAATGTACGGTGGTTTGTGATGGGAGACGACGACACTGTATTCGTCGTTGAAAACTTAGTGAGAATTTTATCTAAATACGACCATAATCAATTTTATTACATCGGAACGACGTCAGAAAGTCATTTCCAAAACATATTGTTTTCATATGGGATGGCGTATGGCGGCGGTGGGTTCGCCATCAGCTACCCATTGGCGGTGGAGTTAGAAAAGATGCAGGACAGGTGTCTACAAAGATACCCTGGGTACTACGGGAGTGACGACAGAATGCACGCGTGTATGGCTGAACTAAATATCCCACTCACAAAAGAACCCGGATTCCACCAGGTTGGTCTTATAAATTCTTAAAACTTAAATCTCTGGAATTACTTATTCCACTCTGGAATTACTGATTCCATTCCAATGTGCAGTATGATGTGCATGGGAATCTGTTAGGTCTATTATCAGCGCACCCAGTAACACCATTAGTCTCACTCCACCACCTCGATTTTGTTGACCCGATATTCCCGGGAATGCCGAGATCCCTAGGAATCAAACATTTACTGGAATCAGCAAAATTCGATTCCGCTAGTGTCATACAGCAATCCATTTGCTATGAGAAGAAAAGGGAATGGTCGATTCTGGTGTCATGGGGTTTTGCAGTTCAAATTGTAAGGGGGATTCTATCACCTAGAGAGCTTGAAACACCTACTCGCACGTTTCTAAATTGGCACAAAAAGCTTGATTATACAGCTTATGCGTTCAATACTAGGCCATTTGCAAGGAACCCATGTCAGAAGCCTTTTGTGTATTACATGAGTTCAACGAGGTATGATAAAGAAAGGGGGAGAATAATTGGGATTTATACTCTTCATAAAGAGCGTTACCCTTTTTGTAAATGGAAAATGGAATCCCCTGAAACGATTGATACTATTGTGGTGTTAAAGAAGGAAGATAGTCTTCGTTGGACAAGGGTACGTCTTTTTCTGTTTTCTCATCCTTTCTCACTATCTTTCATTTCAAATTCATCAAGTAAAATGTAAATGAGTTTTTTTTTTTTATTTATGTTGCAGGCACCAAGAAAGGATTGCTGTAGAGTCTTGCCAGCTAATAAGAAAGGGATTTTATATTTGTGGGTTGGTAATTGTCATGAAAATGAGGTTGTTGAGTTGTAGACTATTTACAAAGGATGCCCTAGTTTTCTAGAAACATATTCATCATCAGACTATGAAAAGAAATATTGATTGATCAATGTAGGAATATTTTAGAAAATTTATCTTTCTCATTTGGTGTGTAAACTTTAGATCAAACTTTTTGTATTATACCTACGATTACAAATGCTGCATCTGCAGTTGATATACTCATATACCCTTGGTCTGTGTTATTCAATGCTAAGGTATTAACCACATGGAGTTATCTTCTATTTCTTCTTCTATGTATACTACTACTTTAGTCTAATTGTAGTAGAAAATGGATAAAAGGAAAAGAGTAGCGGTTGAACGGTTTTCCCATACAAGACTTATGTGAAAAGCTGGAGGAGGATCCTTTACCTTGACCATCATTTTTCCAATAGACTATGGTGCATCTTCATTGCTTATGCCTGGATATGAGATTGCATCATGGGAAACTGTATATGATGCTTCTAGCTCATGTGGATCCGATAACAACTTGTTAGGTTCATGAGAATCAGAGAATGAGGCACTTGGATCATGTGAGACTGACAATGGAGGTTTTAGCTTATGAGACACTGAAAATGAGGCATGTGGCTCATGAGAAGCTGTTAATGGTGCATTGTCATCATGAGAATCCAAGAATGACACATGGGGCTGATGAAGAACAGCTAATGAGGCATATGGTCCATTCGAAAGTGACAAGAAACCATCTGGTGGACTTTCTAATGCCAACACAGTAAGATCAACATCTGTTTCTGCATTCTTTTGCTTCGGCTTCTTGGCTCTTGGGACAAAATGAGTTCTCCCATCTTTGGTTTCCAACTCCACTAACAAAAACAATAATAAACATCAGATGTATAGATATTTGATTTGAACAATTTAGATAAGAAAAACTATAACATGAAATTTTCAGAATAACTTTCATAGCACAAAGCACCATTAGAATTGTTCGAATTGACCACAAATATTATCTACAGTTCTAGATAACAACGAACAGAGGATAACTCACTCCAGTGTTTAGCACCTAGAACTTTCTCATCATTAACATATGGTCATAGTTTCCTAGGGTTTTGAAATCGTTGTATAATCAAATTGATCTCCGCATTTGCCATTATTTAATATTACAACAATCAATTAGTCATTATCAGGACCGAATTTCCTCAACAAATAAACTATAGTGAAATGAAACACAGGCATAGTGATGGATAGATTACATCAACAACGATAATTAAGAGGAAGAAAATTAAGCCGAGATTTAAAATTACGATTGATGTTAAGGTAATAAAAGGATACAGATAAGATAGAGATACCGGAAGTACTGAAGCACCAGAGGATGAAGAAGCACAGCATAACGACAAGAGGAATGAGATGAATCCGTTTGTATTTAACTACTGATCTCGTGCTCCAGCTCTGACTCTCTCTCCGGCCAATGGTGGAAGCAGGATTGTAGATGGGAAGCTCGCCGGTGATGTCCGTCGCAGACATCGACCTCTTCCGCCATGACCGCTTGGGCATCTGAAAACGCTGCATCCAATAAAGAGTAGGGTTTCGATCGAAGGTCTGTGAGTGAGTGAATGAGTGTGTGTTTTGATTTGATTTCAGCAAATCGATGGAGACCAAATAAAAGTTTTGGTTATCGCCTCTAACGTTTTTAGGCGCCAAAAATCATTGCACGTGCTAACCATGAGACAAGTGAGAGCGAACAAGTCGAACCGGGTGAAAAGTGTAAATGGAACCCGGCCGGGCTCCGTTTGTCTTGACTCGAAATTAACTATGACCTACTTTGTTTGATTATTTAACAGGGAAACTAGAGAAAAGTTCTAAATTTTTTGGAAAATTTTTAAATAAATCTTAACTTTTTTTTTTACAAAAAAGTCCTAACATTTTGTCCAAATTAACGAAAAAATCATTTTTTATATTTGAACAGCAAATGACAGATTTTGTGAACTCCTCAAAATAATTTGACTTTTCTATTCAAAAAAAAAATTTAGACTTTTTTAAAACTTTTCCTAAAAGTTTTTGATTTTTCTATAGATTTTAATAGAGTAAATTACACGAATGGTCCCTATGTTTAGGGTAATTTGCGCGTTTGATCCCTAACTTATTTTTTTAACTCGGAAGGTCCTTAATGTTTGTTTTTGTTACGCGCTTGGTCTCTGTCTTACCTAAAAAGACTATTTTTCCATTGATTTTTTAATTTATTTAAATAAACACACCCACATCCTCACCTCCCTCACCTTACCTTACCTACCCCACCATTTTTTCTTATTTAAATAATAGTCTTTTTAGGTAAGACATGGATCAAACGCGTAACAAAAACAAACAGTAGGGACCAAGTGCGTAACAAAAACAAACAGTATGGACCTTTCGAGTTAAAAAAATAAGTTATGGAGCAAAAGCGCAAATTACTCTAAACCATAGGGACCATTCTTGTAATTTACTCATTTTAATAATAACTTTGATAACAAAAGTGTACATATGTTTCTCTTATTAATTTAGATATTTATTATATATTTGCATTAATACTAATTACGTTATGTTTATAAATTTATTGTAGTACATTTATCAAATTAATGTAAAAAATAAAAAAGGCCGTTTTTGTCACATAAAACTATAGCAATAACACAAAATGTAGCAATGGGCACACAAATGAAAAAGGAGGTTGAATATAATTATATCTAAGTTTAAAATAAGACAAAATTATATAAATCTCCCTTGTGATTTTCTAAATCTAAATTTGTAAGTTTTGTTTCTAACCTTATTCTATTACATAGACGGTCTAGGTAGTTTCAAAATATTATATTGGTCTTTGGTCCATATAAAATGACTTTTATACATTTTTTGTTATATTTTATATATTTTTTAAAGCAATTTTAATATAAAAACAAAATGAAAAATATAAAAACATCCCCACACCCACTCTCACATCACCCCAATAAACCCCACACCCTGTCTCCAAGGCTCCAAAACGCAAATCATAAGACACCATCATCAAGTTGGAATCTAAAAATGTCGACTATCTTCCTACTTCAATACTTCCTGTGACAACCACGCATTTTTCCTTCAACGGCCAAACCATCTGTCGCCTTCTCAACTCTTTCCCTTTTTTCCTGTCATCAAACTATCATCTTCCCTTTCTCTTTCACCGATGTCTCATCCCCGCCAATAATACCATTTGCCTCCTCTCCCTTTATTCTCATCACTTCCTATTGTAAACCAATACCATTGTTATTTTAGTGCCCCTTGTTGACTCCACTTTTTATTTTCTTTCGGTTAATTGGATGTGGGGTCCAGATCTGGGTCAAGCAACAACGAGTGTATGTTTTTGTTATCTTTATCGGCTTCCATGGTTTGTGCTCAGTATATGTTCGATGTCCCCACCTAAATTCAAAACTTTACACATAAGAGTTTATGTGTTTGTGAGTCAACGTATCAAATTGATTTTCTGGTTTTTTTATCGACTATATAGTTCCTTACTAAATTATTGGTTGGCAATCATATGTTTTTTTTATTATGTTCAACCACATTGTATTATGTTTTATTCGTGGGTGGGTATATTTAATTTTGAGATTTAGTTTTAGTTTTGGTTTTGAATTTGGAATTTTCTTTGTTGTGGGTCTCGATTTCTATTAAGAAGCTTAGGTTTCATTGTGTCTTCGTTGCAAATTTTGGTTTTGCTGATTTCATTTTAGGGTAGGCTTTTTTATTCTCGATCTTATTCATCGAAGTTAAAAAATGGATGATAAAGTCGTCAGAAAAAAGATAAAGTGGTCGGTCACAAATTGATGATGAAGAAGACAAGAAACAAAATGTGGGTCCTACATTAAACAATGTTTACGTATAAAATCATTAAAACAAGAAAATAATAGATATACTTAGCAGACAAAACTTCGTAAATGGTCCCCGTGGTTTCTCAAAATCTGATATATAGTCTCTAATTTTAAAAAACTTCATAGAAACTCCATGTGGTTTCTATTTTCTATCAAGATTTGTCTGTATTCCACCTAAAAAAAACTTGACAAAACTGCAAAAATGGTTCATGTGGTATGCACTTTTTCCAGGTTTTAGTCCAAACTCTAACTTTTTTGGATTGGTGATCCTTTTGACCATGTTTACTTGTGATTTTGGTCATTTCGAAAACTAAAAAGTCTAAAATGCCCTTCTGATACATTTTTTAATGTTTTTTCTATTTAGATTAAAGTTTTATTAATTAAAACAAGATGAGGGCCCACCTCTCTCTCTCTCTCTCTCTCTCTCTC